AGACCCCATTTCTTAAAAAAAAAAAAAAAAAAAATACTTATTTTATTAGGCATGTCTAGTTCATAGCCTTATGAGGGACATTAAAATTATAATAATTCATTCTAAAGCATTTATCGTCGAACTCTTGAGTAATAAACGTTTTTCAAAAGTTTAAACATCGATATCTCCCTGAAAAATTTAAAATGGCGCAAACCTTTTAACGACAAATAAAAATTTGAGGGCCAAATGAATATTCCATTTATTTATTATTCTACTTTTGCCGTAAAATTCAATTCGAATGAGAAATAGTTATTCAAATTGTTCTTACATTATATTCTTTTGGAATACTTTTAATAGGTTGAATAAAAATAAATCTTCATGGTTGAAGAAATTTAAATTGTTAAAACAATTTTAAAGTTATAAACATCCATATAACTTATTTCATTATATCGTTACGGGAAATTTTGACAGGAAAATAAAAAACAGACTGGTTTTTTAACTCACCTTATGAGTAACACATACTGAATGAACGAAGAGGAAGCAATTATTATTTTACGGCAATGACACATAAGAAAGAAATTATTATCATACAGGCTGCCTCAAAATTATACTTCCAACTTTAACATGTAATAACACATTAAATAAATAAACTAAGTCACGTTGCGTATGCTAAGTTTACCCTATCAATAAGCTCTTTTCTCAACTCCAATACGTTATCAAAGTATTCTCTAAGTTGCCACCAAAGTTTCGAAATCTGTCAGTATAAGTTTTTATTTTATTTTTAATAACAACAACATCTATAAATAAACTAATTCATGTTGCGTATACTAAGTCTACCCTATCAATAAGCCCCTTTTCTACTCCAATACGTAAACAACGTATTCTCTAAGTTGCTACAAAAGTTTCGAAATCTGTCAATATAAGTTATTTTTAATAGCAACATCAATAAATAAGCCAAGTCATGTTGCGTATGCTAAGTCCACCCTATCAATAAACTTTCTCTTCACTCCTATACGCAATCAACTTATATTCTCTAAGCTGCTACCAAAGTTTCGAAACTTGTGAACATAAGTTTTTTTTATAACAATAACATCAAAACTTCGATTTATTTTAAAAGTGCAATTCTTTATCCCATGGCACGGTTTTTCCATTTATCAGCTCGCCATTGCTGACCGAATATTTATTGCTGGGAAATAAGTAACAGAATTAGACTCATAAAGAAACAGAATTACAGGATTAACATTGCAGCTACAATTGGCGGGTGGTATCTTCGCGTCGAAAGATAACAGTAAACAACTTATATCTTATTAAGAGTAAGAGTATGAGAACATTTCTGATATTTTAATTTTTGTTTATATATTTTTTTATTTTAACAACGTTTCATGATAAATGGACGATATAAAAGCCATTGATATGTTATGGCAGAGTTATTTTAACTTATTATTATTATTACTTTACAAAAATATGCTCCCATTTTTCAGTCTATATTTTTATGTTATAGTTCCATTTTTATGGTTTTGGTCTCTAAAATAATTCATTATACTACACTGACTGAGCAAAACTCATGGGATAGCAGGGCTCTGATTTGTGGATGGACAGCACCTGTGACCAACGCCACCTGGTGGCCTCCGCGGCGGTCTCAGTTGTGTGTTAGACATTGCTTGAAGTGACTGTGTGAGTGATCAGGTAAAATGCAACGTCGTCGTGAGTTGACGGACTTACAACGCAGCATGGTTGTGGGTGCCCGACGCATGGGACATTCCATTTCGGAAGTGGTTCAGGAATTCGGCATTCCAAGGTCAACCGTATCGAGAGTTTACCGAGAATGGGTGAATGAGGGTGTCACAGTCCACAACAGACATCATACCGGGCGTTCACAGGCCCTAAATGACCGAGACAGGCGAAACCTGAGACGAGTGGTAACTCGAGAGAGGAGAGCAAATGTGCAACAAATCAGGGCTGAATTCAACACTGGCCGTGATAGAGACGTGTCCCAGTGGGCAATTCGTCGGAACATGCGTGTTCTCGGGTATGAGAGCCGTCGCCCCACACGTGTGCCACTGCTAACCCAGCGTCATCGGACAATTCGGCGCGCATTTACCACCAATTACCACGGATGGACACTGCAACAGTGGCGTAACGTGATCTGGTCTGACGAATCACGTTATCAACTGTTCCATGCTGATGGGAGGCACCGTGAGTGGCGCACACAGCACGAAGCGATGCATCCAGCATGCCAAGTGGGCACAGTCCAGGCCGGTGGCCTATCAGTCATGGTGTGGGGTGCATTTTCGTGGCATGGAATGGGCCCCCTGGTCGTCCTGGATGCCACATTGACTGGTCAGCGGTATCTTCAGCTGCTTGGAGACCATCTCCACCCTTTTGTCATGTTTCAACACCCTGATAACATTGCTGTGTATCAAGATGACAATGCAGCCCCACATCGCGCCAATATCGTCCGTGCCTGGTACGACGAGCATGCAGGTGAGATCCAACGACTGAACCACCACGACTGTACCACCTGATATGAACCCCATTGAACATATCTGGGATGCCCTCGACGTCAGGCTCAGGGCATTGAATCCTCAACCCACGAACAGGCCAAAATCGGCTACCGCTCTGCAGGATGTGTGGTGCCAACTACCTCCGGACGTGTTCCAGAGCCTTGCAGACTCACTTCCACGCCGTACCGCTGCACTCCGCTGGGCCAGAGGGGGCCCGACCAGATATTAGGTGGGTATCCCATGAGTTTTGCTCAGTCAGTGTACATCTGTCTTAAAAACTGCTCATATTGTTTGTGAAAGTAGTAAGCAAAAAGTTTAGTTTGGCAAGAGTACATTTAAAAAAGTTCATGTCCTGATTTATACTTAATTGAGAATAAAAATTACTTTGCTACTTTAAGAACTTGCTTCTAAAATACCATATTAATTCTGTTCATTGAAGAGATTAAATAAAAATTGTAAAAAAAAATTGAAAATGACGTAGTTTTCTTTCTTGAGATATTTTCTGTAAATTTGCTCCAAATTCTGGATTTAATGATCAAAAATTACATTTTTTAAGCAGACGAACAAATTTCTACACCTATAGATTAAATTTTTTTAATCATTAAATTAAATAGTAATGCTAGTTATTAACAACTATTTTTTGTATGAATTTTGTAAGCAATAAAATTTATTTATTTATTTATTATTCTACTTGCAAATACTAAATTTCGAATGGCGGCTTTATTTCTGAAAAAAGGAGAAAAGAATAAGATAAACCCTGCTCGCACTGCATCTATCTAATCACGTTTTAACATATTTCTTCAATTTTCTTCCAACAAATGAAAACATGAGGCTATTTCTTCTTTTTGACTAGCTCATTCCAACATGACACGCTAATTTCGGCATTATCTCAAAACAAAGAAAATAACTGCAAAATATTTCGAATTTATTAACTTTAATTGCAACAAACTGTTCTATTATTCATGGACGTTGTCTGTCGACAAAGAATTTTATTATGTTAAATAAATCTTAAGTTAGATTTACAATAAAACGGAAAAAAAGGAGAAAAGAAACACCAATTTAATGTCGTTAAACAGCAAAGAAAGAAAACACAAGATTTATTTAATATCACTTCTTTAGCATTCTGGAGGAGAAAAAAAAAGTCCAAATCTTGGGAAAATCTCGAAAAAAAAAGTTCTTAATCCCCCTTTCCCCATCTCTCTGCTCCATTGATGAGTATATTACGAGAGATTCAGGCATCGTGTATAAGAAATAACCATCTATAAAATGCACGCATTTGTCATAAATTTTTGTTCCATATGCTCCTGCTTATTGTTGGAAGTTAAACTCTCTTACCTTTACAGTATGAAAAAAAAAGAAAAAAAAAATCAAAGAGCCATTTCATAAGCATGGCTGAAGTTAGAGTGCGGGTAGCAGAAGGGAGCTGACGACAAAAAAAAGCAGGTGTCACAGAGAAGGTCGATTCTGAACAGGTGTTCTACGCTGAAGAATCAGAAGCCAATGTCTTGGAGGATTCGGAAGGCCGGCTTGATTTATAATCCCGCGCTACAGAGAGCACAGCGACGTGGAATATTCTAATTTTTCTTTTGTCACATAACTTAGGGTGACATGTTACGTGTGCTCCTTTGGATGGAAATATTTATGGAATCTTTTTTTTTCTCCCTGCCGTCTGTTTCTTAAATGTGGTTTATGGATTCATTATTTTTGAAATGGAATAAAACACTTCGAACTCTGAATACACGACCACACAAATCGAAATAGACTTAACGAGACTTTTACCATGTAACCTAAAGTAAATTTTCTTCGTTCATTTTGTTTTCCTTAAAACAATACAGAATGGTTACTAAGTAATTTTGCCGGCATATCCCCAAGCATGGTATTCAGTTCCACCAATAAAACTTAGCATAAAGGTTTATATTATAAAGTATGCGAAAGCAAAAAACAATGACTAACGTGCATAAATGGGCATAATAAAGTAGGCCATGCCCGTGAAGTATTAGTTCTCTTAAGTAACACATTTTATATTCTTTCAAAAAGATTTCAATTCTTTCACTATATATTTCGTACTTCACAAAAAGACAGGCACGAAGTCATGTAGAGCATAAACTAATTATGCATCGAAGTTGCCAGGTGCACAAAACAAAAATATATCATAGTTATGTAAAATACATAAATAAATCATAAATCTTAGTTAAGTAAAAGACCTAGAAGAGAAACAATAATATTTTTATAAATTCGACGTGCGATACGGTGTATTGTATTTAATTACCTTCACATCAATTAACATTCTAACTTATGTGGAGAAACTTAGCTTGACTTTAACATGTCATCTTGTTTATAAGCGATCAGCTGGCGCTGAGGTAATAGGTCACGTCTCCGCGTATCAGCCATCATCTTCTTCTCGAGTTGCACGTGCCCAGTTGCTTTAAAAACACGCCAATTACAAATAAAAATGTGTTTTTATAATAAAACATAATTACGTGCAATCCATAAATGACAAGTATCACAATAATAGAACTTCCTAGAACACTAAGCTTGTTCACACATCACCTAGTAAACATAACATAGGCGGAGGGATACACCGGAAGTTCTCTAAACTTCTTCCGGTTTTAGGAAGCTTGTTTTTGTTTACATTCCGTCAACCATCCACACCTGTGTTTAGTTTCTGAGGTGCTATTGTATGTGGTAGGTATATAGTATACTATAGTATATAGGTGGTATAATATGTATAATACAGTTGATGTAATATAGCGTGACGTGTGTCAGGAAATGGGTAGCGAAGAGGGTAAGGTGAAGTGTGACAAAGAAAACGAAGGGTTCAAAAATATTGGAAAATAAAAAAGCGTGGCATCATTTATGGACTTAGACGACATTTTCCAACCATTTTGAGGATTAGGTTGTTGCCCTTTCCGATTCTATCCATGGTATTTATGCTTAATAATATCCTTCTATTTAACCTTACCTCCAACACTAAGACCTCGTAGAGTTGAGTTGAGATGTGTGAATGATGTTTCTGTCAATGTACTTAATGGATTTCCATCTAAGGCCAGGAGTGTAAGAAGTTGGTTTCCAATGAAAGCATCTTCTGGAATCATTTTCATTCTATTGAATCCCATGTCTAAAACCTAAATAAAGAGTATTTTTCAATAAAAATGTTATAAATCCAAATTTTGAACTAAACTTAAATTATTAAAATGAGTCAGAAAGTCGGGCTGTAGTACCACGGGCACTGAAGCTAAGATTCTTTTTTAAAATAATGTCAAGAAAGAGGACCAGAGAGTATATTATAATTAGGGGTCTCAATTAATATTTAAGGAAGAAAAAAATACGAAAACGCTATTAAAATATAATAAATCCTTCTGTGAAAGGCATAACTGAAAGCATCAAAACCCATTTAAATGTCGAGGAAACAGATAGAAGTTGAATGACAATTGTTCGAAACATTTCCAAGATTTACCAGCAATAAAACAGATTTTGTTGTTTTTTAGTTTGTCGTTTTTCTCACTAGTGATAGATACATTTTGGTAGCAACTTTGTTTCTTTCTTTCTTAAATAATAATTTGTGACCTCATCCACTTTATTTTCTGTTAAGGATTCCAAAAATATATTTTAAGGGTGTTCCTTACAGAACATCCTGCATTGAGCAACTACGCCAGTACATGGCTCCTACCCCTCAAGCTCGGTAACTAAAGTGGAAAATCTCAATGGTTGCTACTTAAAAGTTATAGTTTTAAATCTAATGGAATGGCCTTGTAAAGTTTTCATGTTCACTAAAAGCTCAATTTCATGGTCACTCTTTTATTATTTATAAAAACGGAACCATGGTTCACTCAAAAATTCCTCTACAATGGAATGATTGTTTTGATGCTAGACTGATGTATTACGCTTTTTTTCAAAAGTATTTTGATTTCGATACAAAATTAACTCTTATAGTTGGTTAATTAACTATTTCATTGATTTCAGTTGGTGTAGTTTCGTTCTTAGTAGGTTTTAGTTTATTTAGTTTTTAGTCGGTTTTAGTTGGTAAATGTAAAAATAATCCACGTGTTAAATCTATTATTCAATGTCATTTATGAAAGAAAAGAAAATTGAATTGTAAGTAGAATAAATATTTTTGAATTTAATTAATTAATTGTATCTATTATTAATATTTATTATTATTATTAATATTTATTATTAATTATTTATTTATTTTATTCTTATTTTATTTTTATTTATTTATTTCATAATCGAAAACTGCAAATAATTAATTTTTTCGATTTGAAATAATTTTGAATAATATGAAGGGAATAATTTGTTCTTTACGTATAGACTATTTTGATTTCTTGTAAGTTTGTAAAAATCGTTTGTTTTTTCTTTATCAAATTTGTTACGTCAATCACAACTGAAACTTATAAACTCCAGTTCTTCAATTTATCTTTGAAGAATTTATAGTCTTGAACTGATAAAGTGCCTTGACCTCACATAGAGATCCTAATGGTAGTAAGCACAATAACCCTCAAAATTTGTACTTGAGACAAAGTGGTGCAAGTCCCTCTGCGAATCGAGTACTTGCACCACTTTAAACAAACACCTAAGAAATTTGCACCTTATCTAAGTCACCATCTCTGTCACAACAATAAAAGGGAGAGTAATGAGACCCTTTAGCAATCTTACCATTCACTTTGATAGTTCAAGGTCCCATTAAAGATGGAAAAATGTTACACTTTTCCATTAAGACATAGGGGCAACTAAAGTGTGTGGCAAAGTTACGAGAGTAAATATTTACTAAAGGTAAAGCCATTAAAGTATATGTATTCAGCTCTTCTCTCACAGAAGGTAATGGTTAAGTAAATAGCTTGGCATGAACCTTGACTACACTTTTGTCAGAGATACGCCGGATAAGAATGAAGTTACTGCTTATCCCGTATCCCTGCATATTTTAGGAATACTTGGTTAAATTAAATGCTTAATGTAATCTATAAATGAAATAGCAAACAATTTTTTGTTGTTGTATAAAATTGGTCAGATTGAGTGTATTATGTAATGCATAAATAAAGCAGCAAACAATTATTTCTTTTAGTATAAAATTAATTAAATTGAATGCATTGGGTAGGGTATAAATAAAGTAGCAAACAATTATTTCTTTCAGTTTTTAAATTGGTTAGAGTGCATTATGTGATGTATAAATAAACTACCAAACAATTATTTTTTTTAATGTATAAATGAAGTAGCAAACAATTATTTCTTTTCATATTAAATTGATTAGATTGAATGCATTATGTGATGTAAAAATGAAGTACAACAAACAATTTCTTTTAGTATAAGATTGGTTATATTAAGTGCATTATGTAATGTATAAACAAAGTAGCAAAGAATTATTTACTTTAGTATAAAATTGTTCAGATTGAGTGTATTAGGTAATGTATAAGTGTAATAGCAGACAGTTATTTCTTTAGGTATAAAATTAATTAGATTGAATGCATTAGGTAGTGTATAAATAAAGTAGTAAACAATTATTTCTTTACGTATAAAATTGGTTAGATTGAGGTCATTATGTGATGTATGAATAAACTAACAAACAATTATTTTTTTAATGCGTAAATAAAGTAGCAAACAATTATTTCTTTTCGTATTAAATTGGTTAGATTGAATGCATTATGTGACGTATAAATGAAGTATAGCAAACAATTTTTTTTAGTATAAGATTAATTAGATTGAGTGCATTAGGTAGTGTATAAACAAGGTAGCAAAGAATTATTTATCTTAGCATAAAATTGTTCAGATTGAGAGCATTAGGTAATGTATAAATGAAGTAGCAAACAATTATTTCTTTCAGCAAAAATTGATTAGATTGAATTCATTAGCTAATGTTTAAATGAAGTAGCAAACAATTATTTCTTTTCGTATAAAATTAGTTAGATTGAGTGCATCATGTGACACTTAAATGAAGTAGCAAATAATTATTTCTTTTCGTATAGCATTGGACAATTCCATAGTAACAAATTGACAGTTAATAATAAATATAAAATGGTATTGTTTTGTAAAAAACATATAAAATTAAGAATAATTCATTCAAGGCTACATTCAGTAAGTAATCTTACAAACCATTCGATTGTATTTAAAAGTAAATAAATTCTTTAAATACTATAATTGAAATAGAAGCCGGACAAACATGAACTACATTATTTTCAGGTACTTTCATAATTAAGCTCATTACTTTTTTGAAAATGCATATTGTATTGTAAGAATAATGGATTTTATTTAGTGCGAATATTGATTTCATGAAATTTAAATAGAAGAAACATAATTTAAATAGAAGAAAAGAAATTGAACACCTGTAACCGACAGGGGCTCTAACTCATATCTTGGAAAACAGATTGTTACTACGTTATCTCGTAAATATTATAACTGATGTAGTGTCATTTACTCTATTGGTTATACTTGCTTAAGGAAATCTGTAATTCGAAATAACTTTTCAACGGAAATCTGACGACCAATCAGCATCCGATAGATTTTTTAATATAAAAATCAAAATAACGAAAAGTCAGCGAAATTGTCGTTGAATGGTCCTATTATCAAACATTTCTTTTAAAATCTGATTAATCAAAACCTAGATTACCCAATAATAAATTAAAAGTTTCCGTTTTAAGTTCACCTTTGTTTTTGGTCTAGTACATTGTTAGAGATTTTGAAGTGTATTGAACCACAACACTGTCCAAATTTGCTGTTATCTCAATATGTTATTACATTGAACCATATTATCGTGCTTCGACAACTCTATTACTCGTTGCTGCATCTCAACTTGAACAGAAATACGGTTTAATTTATTACCTTATTGTATCCCATTAGCTTCGTATTACAGTTCAAGGTTCCATATTATGGTGCAATTTTGGAGTATATTGAACCACAATATGGTTCAAATTTGCTGCTATTTCAATATGGTGTTAAATTGTACCATATTATCGCGCTTCTTTAACTTTATTATTCGTTATTACTGTTCAACTTGAAAAGAATACGGCTTACTTTAACACCTTGTTGTATCCTATTGGTGCTGTATTACGGCTTAAAGTAACGCTATTATAGTGCAACGTTGAGCAGGTTTTTTTGTTAGTATAATGTAGAGTTTTCATTGTGAAAATCTGTCTTAAAATCTGACTTAAAACACTGCAAAACTTGCTTCTTATTGTGGCAAAATAATTTGTATCTTAAAAATTGTCTTGATGCATCTTATTTTAATTAAAAACATATTTTAAAGCACGAATTTTTTTTGCTTTAAATATTATTGATAAAGTTTATTAAATTTTTAGAATTGAATATCTGCAAGTGATGTCATTGTGGATAAAACGTAGCATTCTTAGATTTAGAAGCCAACCAGGTTCAACACAGACGCATGGCTGAAAGCCCTTATATAGCAAGACGGAAAAGTGCAAAAACTGGCAAGAAAGACATTCCATTTTAGCATTTTTTTCCAGAAAAATAAAATATCTGTAACTATCAAGATTTCTTTTATAATTTTAGTCTATATACGAAACTGCCTATATTCCAAGGATAGAGTAAATATTGTTGAATAGTTTTAAAAATAATAAGTTAACTCCTCCCGGAAACTACTTATAAGTGAAATGGTTTTACTACCAGCCTTTCCTCTTTTCCGTCTCGCTTTCACCCCTGCACAGACGTGGGACGTTGCTTACAAGTATCCAATAAAATCTGATTTAAATCACATGGTTGGGGCTAATCATGTATTCTTCTTTTCGAAATGCAAGTACCCAGTTGCGTGTGCTGTATTCTTTTGGACACAGTCTTTTGAGCAAAGATATTTATGCATGACATATTGTTCGAATTGTTTTCAATTTTGAACTCTTGTTTTGGAATAAAATTTGAACTTGTTTTCTTATTTTAGCTTACAAACTGTGGTATAGGAGCATTTTGCATTTTGTGTAAACAAAAAGGGAGAAAAAACCAAATAAAAAATAATTACTCTTATAAAATTCATACGTTTCCACTTAGGTTTAACGTTGTTTTAAAGTATCTGAGAATTCTACATCAGGGAGCGAAATTACCACTACCCAGCTCGCCAAGCGTTTACAGTTCGCCAAACATCAGAAAAAATATGCGATTAAATTTAGCCTTCTAAAATATTGTGCTGATAAACAGCACCATATTTTTCCAAGAGATTACTCTAGATAAATATTAAAAACTGTGAGCAAGAGTTATAGCCTTTTCTACTCTTTAACATTGGACAACAAACAACCTTAAAATATTAATAATCTGACCTAATATACATGTACTAATAATCCTGAAAAATATGAAGAAACCACTTTCTCATTCTATAACATTAGACGGCAACAGCATCAGAATATCAACAACCAGAAAAATATGAAGAAAGAATTTTTCTGAAACATTTGGCGACAACAACCTTAAAATATCTCATCTGTGTAGTGCCATACATTAGGAAAAGTCGCAACATACAGAATTTTAATGTGATTTCTTAACCACCTAAGAAACAGCCTCTAAAAACAGTAGATGACGAACAGGTGTTAAAGACCTCGTCACACTTTTGATGTGAACTGTCAACACGAAGCTGTTAATGGTCAATTGCCCATCAAATTACCGCACTTCCTTCAACACACTTCGGTTCATTTTTTGGGGGGTAAAAAACATCATTATTTAATAGCTGCAGTAGTAAAAACAGCATTAAAAATACTTTTCAGCAGGAGCAAAAATTAATTAAGAGAAATCAAAACAAATCAAGTTATTTTGTATTGAAAGCAGTTATCGAAATAAATAACTCATATCATTAAGCATTGAAATCCCTAGAAATATAACATTAAAAATATAGCTGCTTGATTTTGCATTAGCTATATACCTTCATCAGCAATGCGGCAAATTAGTTATAGAAAATTATCTATTAATATATAGCTTCTGTATAGTATGTCAACGCAGATAAAATGTGTATTAATGGAAATTCAGAAATATTGCGAATGGTCTTATGACCACATCTGTAATCAGTATGATTTTAAATAGCTTTTTGTAAACATACATGTGTAAAGTTTAGTAATTGTTAGCTTTTTGCCATGTTTTAATGTACGATTTAAAGTTTTCTATTATGTTTCTGCTCTTTGTTATTACTTGGACAATCAACAAGGAAGTTACTTAGTTACGTTTCTGTAACCAAGGAAATACTTCGAAGCTATGTTTTAGAAACGTTACATTCAGTACTGCACGGAATACTTTTGGTTTGTAGTGTAATGTAGCATTTAGTAAAAAGTTAGGTACTGAAAAATCTGCTTCTTTTATACAACTAATTTTCAAATGTGCAAAAATAGAAGGAATTCAGAAAGGTTGCAAGTGTTTTTATCTTTTATTTTTAGTAGCTTTGTGATGGAATAGTTAATGAAGATCTTCCTATTGGAAAATTGCTTCTCTTATATACATCAACACATTTTAAATTATTATGAATAGGAATTTAAAAATTAAATACTAATATTTGGGTGCTTAAGGTAGTAATTGATTGGTGAAAAAAATAAACTAATAAATTATTTAATTAAAGTAACTAAATGAGTAATTCGAATCAAAATTAATACACAACATTTAATTAGTGATTAGAATCAATGAATTTGAACCATTTCATGTTATTTAATAATTTAAGAGTACATAATTTAACGAATCAAAAATATATCATTTGATGATTTAGCATTGTATCAATGGTTCAAGAATATATCGTTTAAAAATTTAAGGATATATCATATAATGAGACAAAAATGTATCACATAATGTTCTAAGATCTAAGTTGTGACAGCTTGTTTAAAAAGTAAAGGCGGCCTGTACACATTGCTGATCACATTATCATTATCATTACATTGGTCACGAAAATGCGGAGCCTTAACCTCCATTACCTATCTAGCCCACAGTGTGCTGTTACGGAAATACTTCACTGTACAATTTATTTCACATAATATACCATTTAATGATTCAAACTATACAATTTAATGACTCAAAATATATCATTAAATGATTTGAAAAGACACCAATTAATGCTTCAAAATGTACTATTTAATGATCTAGGAATATATAATTTATTATTCTAAAATCTATTATTGATTGACAGTTATACAATTTAAAATTACCCTTCTTTTACTTTAAATGCCAAAATATAAGTTAAAATTGTTAAATATGAAAGAAAATACAACTTTACCTTCTTATTACTTTAATGATTCAAAGAATATCATTAAATATTCAAGAATATATCACTCAATTATTTAGAAAATATATAGCTTAAAAAATCATGAATGAATCGTCTAATGATTCAATTTTCTCAAACTCACCCTCAGTTGAGCGAGTGGTCTGATGGCCAAAGTTGGAAATTCCTCAATTTTGTTGTTGAGTAAGGAAAGTGAACTGAGTGTTCCATTGAGGCCATTGAATGCTCGAGGGTCAACGTAGCTGACCATATTTCTTTCGAGTGTCAAGGCGGTCAGTTGTTTGAGGTTCTGGAATTCATCCGGTAAAAGCTGAGCGAACTTGTTTTGAGAGATGTCCAGGAAGGAGAGTTCCGAGAGTTGTTTGACTGCGTTGGGCATCTGGATTTGTCCTGTCCCTTTCAAATTCAGGTTATGCAGTGAAGCCTCTAATCCTTTGAAAGCTGAGTCACTGCAGGAAAAAAAAAACACATTGCATCATGATCAGAAAATAAGGGGATATTTCTGTATCGTGATCTGTGGTGCCAACTACAACCAACAATGCGCCAAATAGATTTAAAATTTGAAATTTTGTCTTTTAGGAAGAAAAAAAAATGCATAGGCCTAATAGTAGCTACAAGTTACTCTTCAAGTTGGAGCTCTTCTGATTCTTTTTTCTTTTCTTTTTTTTTTTAAGTTTCTTTTGGGGCACTGCTTGGAAGTTGCCTGGCGATTATTCCGTCGCAGATCACGATATATTTTATTTTATAACAGTCGTTGAAAAACCGATCCAATTTTTGGATTTACAACTACTAATATTTTACACCACAACCTTGTAATTTTGAACCCAATCCAGAAGACAAGGGAACTCCTAGATCAAGTATTGGGAGAAATTTACCTTCGTGGAGGACTTTTTGATGGAACTGACCTGCATTTGCGCTACATGGAAAGGAAGACCTCGAGAACCTCCCATGGTTAGCCTGACGGCAAAGGGACTCTAACGCATGATCCGTCTACCACGGAGGATATTTCACGTCAACACTGGGGTTGCAAGCCGGATGCAGATTCGTATTCACCAGCCATACCTGGGATTCGAACCAGGTTCACCTTATTGGAAGGTGAACGCTCTATCCCCTGAGCCTCTGTGGCTCACATGTTTACATCTAAGTCAGGGCATGAAATTTCAGTTTCAAAGACATTAGTCGAACTAAAAGCTTTACTCGCCACTATTTACCATTCAAGAGAAATAAGAGCAAGTCTTAAAATGGTAACAGATGAACGTTTTGGTGACCTAGAGCATAAAAAAATATAAATTTGAAAATCGAGATAATTTACAGTATTAATAATTTTAAATTAAAATAAAATGTTCTTAAAGTTTTAATGTTTCCAGAAGTAAGGGTTTGAAAGTGAAAAGTGGGGGTGATAAAGTATTTTTTGTTCTAAATAGAATGAAAATTCATTCACTTGATATCAAATCACCTATACTTTCCGTTTTACGGAGGCATAATAATCTAAGTGCATAAAGTTCAATTTTAAAATAAAACATTTTAAAAAACGAAACTTAATTGCCAACCTTAATCATTTGATCGCAAATGGCGAGCTGGCGAGTGGGAATTTCGCACCCTGATCTAAGTTGAAATAAATATACTGCACCAAACACCTCCTAGAAGCGAGAAGGCGTCCGAACGGATCAATTTTGTAGTCCGACGTAACGAACACAAACTTGCGCAGTGGGAGATAAATAAATAAAAAATATCACAAACTTTGTACTACTAAACAAGGCAGCGGGAGAAATACGAGAGATGTTTCTACGCTCGGACTACTAAGGGATCGGATTTCTCGTTTATCGTAGAGTCTGGTATTTTTTTTTTTCTTTTTTTTTTTTTTTCAAGAACAAAAAGATTCCTCGTGCACCACTGAAAAAGTACAACACGAGGCTTACAGACTTGAGAAAGTGATATCAAACAATGTTGGATATTTAAACAGAAATACATAGTAAAAGGGCATGTAAAATTTAGAAAAGAAGAAAAAAAATAATAATAATAATAAAAAAAAATAAAGAAAGAAATAAGAATAATAACATTAGCAAAAAGGATGAGAAAAAATAAAAATAAAAAAAAGCATAGACTCTGACTCTGACTCTCAAGTAGACTCTGGTATGGCTGGACGCTTTCTCTCTTCTAGGAAGTGTTGTTGCACAGACGTGCTTACAATGGAAGTATTCATGTAAATATTTTGTGGCAACTTTTAGAATAGCCAAATTATGTAATAAAATAATAATATTTTAAAATAGCATCATATATTCAAAAATTAGCTTAAGTGCAAAATGGTGCTATTAAAGTTTTTTCTTTTAAAAAAAAATCATAGAAATTCTGAGTAACAAAGGTCGAAAATCGTTTTTAATAAAGTAGACTGAATCTCATGATTTCACTGTAAAAAATCTAATTAGATACTGTTTTTCATTAAAAAAATGTTAAGGCTAATACTGGAATATGTCACAATTTTTTTTTCCAAATGTGATACTTATAAATAAGCCGACCGGCCTGTGTAGAGGGCAGGGAACTGTCCTTGCATCAGAAAGGTTCTGGGTTCGAATCCCGGGCAAGGCATAGATGTTCTTTCCTTCTCTGCGGATGTTAACACAGGTGGGCATTGGAAAAAAAACGCTTATAAATAAAACTGTGCCTTAATAATTTTATCGAATAAATCTTTAACAGATTTTCGAATTTTTCCTCTTAATAACAGCGCAATACACAGAGACATTTTTCTTTCTTGAAAATAGTAGTGTTTTTCAATAATAACGCAAGAAAATATGACTTTACTGCTCCTAATCCATTTTTGCTTTACATTGCCGGCTTAAGTTGCAAGAACCACACTTGAAGGGAAGAAAGGTTTTCGTGAATTCGTCATCAAGGTAGAGAAAATGGTTACAAGAAGTATGGCATTATACATTTTTGTGAAAACAAAAACATTTTAACTCAACTGATTAAATAATTTTACATTATTTGTTTTTACATTTCTTCGTATCTTTTTAGACAAAGTTAGTAAACTTACAATAATTATTGTTATGATCTCAAGTTTCCTTATAACACAGAATTAAAGTAAAAAAAAAATTTGAAATATGGTCTATAACGTAGCGCATTGTTTCAGAATATGTTAAAATAATATAACGTTATATGGAAGATGACATGGAAGGTGATAGTAAAGAATATAAAAAAAAAGTGAAATTATTTTTGAGCGACCTCATTAATTTATTTCTATTTCCTTCGCTTATGCAGATTTTGTGGAGCAATGCTTGCAGAGGAAAAATGACCAATACGATTAGAAACGTAAATGATGCGTTTTGAATTCAAAGCTAAAATTAATAATTAAGGCGCAATTTTGCATCAAATGCGATGCGTTAAGTAAAACGTTTATTAAACTATTTTTTGAAAATCATCATTGAACTTAATTATGATTTTAAATGTTAACTCAAATATAGGGGAAAATATCGAATTCATTTTATGAATAAAAATTGTAAGTTGGAAGATTTTTTTCAAATTTATTTAATTGAGTGAATATTAAGTTATGAACGCTTAATTCGGTACAAATATCCTCATAATTAGAATAGCTGAATATAAATTTTATTTTTAAATATACATCAAAATATCAAAGTAACGCAAATGCTCGTCACAACTTGGACGGATAAAAAAATGTACCGTAAAACCGGGGTAAGTTGGTCAATTTTTAAAATATGATTTTTGTTCAACTTGACACAATCAGATCTAAACCTTCACTTTTGACGATTCAGCAATCTTCGATCAAATATTGACGTATATTTTGACTCTAAGTTTCGATAGGTGGCTCTTGATAAAAACATGGACTCTCAAATATTTGATGAAACTGCTTTTTCACTCTCACGTCATCTCATTGCATTCTGGGAGTTTTCCAATTCTTTCTTGATCTGATTAAAACAATTTGACTGTAAGATGGGATGATACAGGGGTAAGTGTGTTTTCTTCCCGAGTTCATATCCTGGAGATGTCTGTGAACTCATTCTCTCTTAATCCTTTTGAACATTCGGTTTTATTTCCAAACTATTTAAGTTAAATCTAATATGTGGCAATAAACCAGATGTTTTTCACAAAATTCCTAACCTTTAAAGAGAGAGATTTCCTAAATGTGACGTAATGTTAGTTAAAAATGCAGTCACGAATTTTGAATACCCATTTTTTCTCGAATGAAAATTTTAATCTTAAATTTTCCTGACAAAGCACTTCAGATTTTTTCTTACGATCAAAACTAATTTCAGTTCCCTTTCAAGAAATTTCTTTAAAATACTGTTTCTTTTATCCTATATAATGTTTTATAATTTATGTTTTTGGAGCACATTTAATATGCTTATTTAATATAGAAAATATGCGTTAACTATCACCCTCAAGAATATCTTTTAAGGCGGACATCAAATAAACAAAATTATGAGAACAACCAATTTACTTATCTTCCTTTCTAACAATCAATCAGTTTTAAAGAATTTTTTTATAATAATTTATTTCTCTTCACTAAATTAAACATTATCTTGTTAAGATCTATTCTAGGAAAGAAACATGACCTCAAATATTCAGTATCATTTATTTAATATTTAACTATAAAAAAAAAACTTTTTTTTCTCTGAATTTATTACCAAGCTAATTATTTAAGAGATTGTATCTGTCAATCAAATTCTATATTCCACGCCAGAGTCATTAACATATTCAAGTCGTTAAAATGCAGAGTCATACCTTCTACGCTAGTGACCTGAACTCCATGTAATTATCTTTTGAAATTGTTGTAGAATCTATGATCTCCTTTTTACACATCAATGAGTTTTAAAGTTATTAAGTAATTGTAAATTAAATCTATGGGAAAAAAATAACTTCAACTTCCTCTCGGTTCACCATCTGGGATAGACACAATTATTTAGTTTCATCAAAGATTTAAATATTGAATGATATTAAATTAAATGTAGTTGAAATTATAACTGTAAAAAATAAATAGAATTAGTCATTTGATTAATATCTCAATTTATAGTGAAGAAAATAATAAAGCTGAAAAACTACACTGTATACTCTATTTTTCATTTTTAATGTAGTAATTTTTAAACACTGCAAAGAATACTGACTGTAATGACAGTATTTTTTTTTAAAGATCAACCATGTTTGAATCCCAGCGATGGCTGGTCGATACGAATTCCGCACCCGACTCGCATCGACCACAATGCTGACATAAATGTATCCTCAATGTTGACAGATCATGGATTAAAGACCCCTTGACGTCCGGCTAACCGCGCAATGTTTTCGTGGTTTTCCTGTCCATTTAACGCAAATACGGTTTAGTCCAATCAAAAAAGTCCTCCACAAAGGCAAATTTCTGCTTGATCCAGGAGTTCCCTTGTCTTCTGGATTTGATTCAAAATCACAAGGCTACGGAGGTGGACATTGGTAGACGTAAACT